CAACATTGGCGCTTCAGTGTGTTCATTGGCCCCAGGATTTTACGGAACTGCCAGGGAAGTGATTCCCTTGGCGTTCCTTGTATTTTGTTGGTCCGAGCCGACCGGGGTAGACAGGTGGCCACCAACATTGAAGTCTTAGTGGCGCTTCAGCATGGTCATTGGCCCCGGGATTCTACGTAACTGCCAGGGAAGTGATTTCCTCGGCGTTCCTTGTATTGTCCTGGTCCGAGCCGACCAGGTTAGACAGGCGGGTGCCAAGATTTAAGGATTTCGTGGCGATTCACTGTATTCACTGGCCCCAGGATTCCACGGAACTGCCGGGGAGTGGTTTCGGGCAGTGGCGTCACAAGGTGGGGGACCGCGCCCGGGTGCAGCGCTCAGGGGGGTGTCGCGACGGGATGCGGGGGGAGGGGGGGGGGGCGCGGCGGGCCACGCGAGAGCGGAGGGTGGGGGGGGGGGGAAGTTCGCGGCGGGCCACGCGAGAGTGGAGGGGGGGGGGGGGGGAGCGGCGGGTTATGCGGCCACGCACGAGCGGAGCGCGCGGGGGGGGGGGGGGGGGGGGGGGAGGAGGGGGGTGTCGCGGCGGGCTACTGCCGCGAGTGCCGCTGACCCTCGTGACGCCACTGGTTTCGGGTGTCGTTTATTTTTGCAAGATCAGCGCGCGAAGGAACGACGGGCAATTACCGTCGTTCATTATTTTTTGTCTGGAACTTGCTTGACATCGGACCCTGAAGTACTAGATACGGCCACTTTTACTTACATCAACTTAATATCCGTTCTTACGTTGCGCTTAAATTTGACTCTCACGCTATTATCACAAAGCCAGTGACGTACAGCTTCGTACACGAGAATCTGCGCTTAGACCTTTGGCCAGAAACCGTTTCCTCCTTTTCAAAAATATTGCGCTTGCCGGCGTGACGCGATCGTCGGGCTTTATTGACACGGCCGTGCCGACAGTACATCGCAACCGCAAGCAGGGTCCGCAAAACAGCACCCCATGTCTGATTTCACAAAATCGCCAAAAACAAACTGTTGCACTGGATGCGTAAATTAGAAAAAAACAATAGAACACATTTCATCAAATTCCAGAGGCCGGTGTTTATTCCAGAACAAATTGACTAATCGCAAATCAGTCGGCGCTTCAAGAAAAAATATGTGAAAAACATGTTGCTCAACTAAATCTGCGTACATTGCAGCGGCGTTGAGCGCGCGTGTTCAGTTTTCCGTTTGCTAAGACCCCGAGTTCTTTCCAGACTGAAAAGAATGACCGGGTGCTTCAGTCAAATTGATCGTCCCACCTTTAAATAAACAACAAATATCAGTTTCACATGCTACGTAATTGCATCCTGGTGGTGCGTTTTCTTCGCGAAAGCGAACTTGCCTCAGAAGCTTCAAGCAAAAAATGCTTTCTAAAACCGACATGTGCTAAGCCTTTAGTTTTTCAAATGAAACGCGACACGCAAAACTTCCGACACGAGAAAGGCTTAGATGTTGGCTGGTATTTCTAAGTTCAAGAAGAGGCAAGACTGCTCTCGCTGCACCAACGTCAACGCTTAGTGCCGCAGTATGAGAAACTGATTTTTAGTATTTATTTAAAGCGGGAACGACTCATCTGACTCACCTTACACCGCCAACACACGTGGAATGCAGTCCGCACGGACCGCACCACAAGTTACGAAAGCCTTGGCCACGCGTGGTGCAAAGCAAAAACGTTGTATGTGCAAGTGGCGCTAGTGATCAAGTACATAAAAAAGAAGTTTGTTCCGCGGAAAATCGCATTCACTGATGTAAGGAATCGAAACAAAGTAAGGGGTACCGCGAATGTAAATATTTATTTACATTTTTATTTTCATCTCAAAATTAAGCAAGCCGGACTTTAATCCGCGTTTGGATAGGTTCCACGGGGAGTCATGCTTATCAGAATTTGTAAATACGAAATAGGCTTAGCTTAGGCAGTCAAAACATAGATGACATAGATCTACCCTGCCATCTATTACACTATCTACATACAAAACATAGATTACATCTATGTTTTGTATCATTTCTTTGTTCTATGACTCTTCATTCTCTCTTTCACCATAAATACGAGCGAAGGTGAGCTCGTGACGTGTCAACAGCGACCTCACATTGCTTTCGCTCGCACTGATCGTGAAACGAAGTGTAGGACATGTGGGGCACGTTTCGGCGGTGCACGCGTCGACGTGTTCAGAACTAATTTGTTCTACGTCATCAAGGTTAGCGTAACTTCTGCAGGGCAAAAATTGCAAATTGGGTTATGGGGATATTTTTACAGCGTGTAGTTGGTCAGCCATTTAAAGTTGCGACGAGTCACTCGCGGTAGATGAGCAATTTAGCCGGTGCAGCACAACCACTAGCCTGGGGTCTTTAACGTGCGCCACGCAGTAGTGATACACGACCGAACGCCGGTACGATGCTCATCCAGATCGAAACGGGCAGGGGTGCGGAACCCAGGTGCAACAGAACCCAGGATCCCTGGGTTCTGTTGCGCGAGCTTTCGCTCCGCGTGCTCCGAGCTGGTGTGCTCTAGCCCACTCGGCCGCCGATCCCGCTCTGGAGGGAAACATGTCTTCTGTTTAGACACGCACAGAAAGTTAGCGAGTGGATTACACCGCTGTATGCACTGAAGCTGTAGCGATCTAGAAGGTCCACGAAAAAAAAAAATACAGCCATACTCGTTGGCAGGTTGAAAGTAAACGCTGGGGAGGGGGTCGGCTCCTCCCGAGCGTTCGCTCTGCAAAAGTGGAAAGAGATGGGAGGAGCTGCTTCATCTCAAAACTGAAAGTTTTCAGATGAAGCAGCTCCTCCCTCCTTCGATTTGTGTGAATGTTGATAAGGCAAAAAACGCAGTGCCTCTTATGCTCATTTAGCGACGCAGCCAGGAATATTTTCTAAGGGATGGGGAGGGGGGGGGGGGACGCTTCTCCCGCCTCCCCTGTATTTACATCACTGGTGTATTGTCGGCTGTACATGATCTTGAATTTCTCAAAACAACCTGTTTTACTGAGCCACAAAACACGGCCTGTAATTCCAACCAAACAAAAAAAAAAACTTAAAAAATACGTACATTTTTTAGCAAAAAAATAAATAAACTTAAAACAGATATCTAGTGAATGATTAATCAATTACATGTATTCACAAATAAGAAATCAAGTCGAATTAAGATATTAAACACCGTTTGTTTGAAGGACCAGATGGACATGAGTTGATGCAGATTCCAATCAGCAAACAAAGGTTATCAAGCAATGTATAACAGGAGAAGAAGCTGGGAAATTATGTCTGCTCGCATTCGATTGACTTCAAAGTTTGTATAGAGTACGATAACTGCAGTAATGTCAACCGTAGTGACACCGGCCCCAGAAATATGGACAGAGATAGAGTGGGGTCGAAACCAAAACTACTAAGTCGTATTTCAATCCTTGGCTGCCTTGGCTGGCTTGGCTTCGTGCCAATTCAAAGCCGCAAGCAACTTCTGGATCCTTGTTCGTTCCGGAGAGGACACAAAGGCCTTTCTCGGAGTGCGTCGGTCGATCCGAGTTTAGTTAAGTTTTGACGATTGCATATTCATATTGCATGCTAGAAGAATATCCAGATATGCTAGATCATCTTCGGAACAACGTAGCTCATGTTGCCACCGTAATTCGGATGATTTTTCACTTTTTTCTACGATTTGAGTCGAAAAAAGTGAAATCGTCTTAGCACTGACCGGCGGCGGCGCCGCGGTGCCGCCGTGCCGAGTATGTAGGCTCCCTAGCCGTGCCGCTATCTTGAGAATCCCGTGAATGCTCTGCGACACCGGAGCACTGCAGAGACGCTGATTAGATTGTTTCTAAAGTACGCGTTGCTATCAGTGAACTGTTCTGTGTTGTTAAACGCTTGATTGCGTGTCGTCTCGTCCTTTTTCATGCTAGCGGCAGCGTTGAGTTGTGCCCAATGTTTTGAAACTCCCGGCCCGCGCGTTCTGGGTTTTCACGCCGCGTCCAGAGGGATGGCGCGGTTCGACTGGCGCTGGCGTTTGGCGTATTGATAGGACACGCTCCTAACTGGGTGTCGTCGTTGTGCTCGTGTACGGCGTGTGCCTCGCGCCGGCGTGCGGTGCGTGGCGTTGGGTTTGAGGTGCTCGGGCCTTGAGTTTCTTATACTTGGGACACACGGGCAACTCGAATGCCATTTACAACGAATGACATTTGAGCGGACGGCCAATCGGCGCGCGACACTCCGGGCGTGACGCGTTCCACGCGCGACAGATAGCGAGCTGATTCGCCGATCACACAATTGTCATTCGTTGTAAATGGCATTCGAGTTGCCCGTGTCGCACGGGTGTTAAAAGTGTTGACCGAGCCCTGTTAATCTCATCGTTCTTGTTGTTTTCTCCCTTGTTGCCTGTTTGTTATTTTGATCATCTTGGTCTGGTTGATTGGCTAGCAGACGATCGTGCGTACGGGCCCCTGCATATATGTCTAGCCTTGCGAACCACCCAGGGTACTACTGTCGCTAATAATGATTATTATTGCTTGCCTTAGCGACGTTTTAATTTACTCCAGCTACATTCGTGACTTGTAGAACTCGTGGGTGCACAAGTAGTTTACATGGCCGAGGAAAGAGGTTGAATGATTTGATTAAAATGCTCTGATCTGGTATAGAACGTTTAGTGGTACTGGGGAGACACATACAAAGCAAGGAGATCCAGCTTTGAATGTGTTGGCTCCCTACTTACTACAACGTTTAAATACCTGAGGCCCTGGTAAAGTTGAAGGGAGTCTCTTAAAACATTTGTGGAAAGACCCAAAGCTGGATACAATTTTAGTCTAATAGCTGGTCCACACTGTTGCAACCGACTAGGACTGACTCCGACAAAACCACTCTTTAAGCCTCTTGTGACGGCTTATGACCACGCCGTCCAGCAGTAATAATGGCAGTCGTAAGCGGCTTAAAACCCTGTTTTGTTCAACTCGGTCGTAGTCAGTTGCAACAGTGTGAACCAGCTCTAACGCCTCTTAGGCGCATGCGCAAACAGTAGCTTCAGGATAAACTTGCGCATTGCACTGCCCCAAAGGATTTCGATCACATCCCCGGTGTTTATTTTTAATTTGTATCCCTGCACTGCACAACATGTCAAGAGGCTTGTTGATTGCTGTGCATGTGCCTATCAAGCGAGCTGTGCTATTTTTAAGTGGTGTTTAATTTGTGTTTAGCTTCCTGGGATTTCTTAAGGTACCAGTAGGTATCTAAGCTCTACATGCACATTCTTCTTAACAGGCGCTTCACCAGAAATTTGTTTTTTTTTGGGGGGGGGGAGGGCCAGCAAAATGGACGATTCTGGGGGGGGGGATAGGGTAGGTAATAAAGAAAAGGTGAGGTAGGCTCCTACCCCCCCTTCCGGCTGCGTGCCTGGTTCTTAATACAATTGCGTCATGAAGAAGCTAAGTTTCCTTGTTTGGTTGAGTTTAATGGTGCTGTCATCATGGTCTTTGCACTGTCGACAACAAGAGAAGCGTAATGTTGGCACTTTTTCTTTTGTTGATCTGTGAAGCAAGTTTTGGTTTCTTTTTTTGTTCCAGAATATCAGTCTGATTCTTAATCATGGTATTGCAGGAAGTCTGTATCATCAAGAAAAAACTGCAGGTGGCTGGAAGCTGCCGATCAGCTGCCAGTCTGGATAGTAGCCATCAACCCAGCAAAGGCCTGCAGGCGAATCAGCCCAACCTGTTTCTCTGCCGCCATTCAAGACAGGGTGCTTTGTGAAAAGTGAAACGGGGCCCATGCACCGCTTCCGCAGGGCCCTACTGGTATTTATCTGACCTTTTGTTTTCCTAAACAAATAACACCATTACAAACTGTAATATACCGAGCGATTGCCCACTCTAAATTGGGGATGACCATGGAGAGCTGGGGGATAGGTGTACCAGAATATGTGTAGCGAGGATTGCGCTGCAGAACCCAGGGGTCCTGAGCTCGGTCCCCACCCTTGCTCACACACACCAGTGAGCTTGCTAGCCAACCGGCATACGGAAACAACTAGGAGTCCCGGTTCCCACTGTCCCATTTGTCATACACGTTGCACACCACTTGCTTGGTTTGTTCTAAGATTTCTTGGTTGCCAAACTTCATAAAAATCTTACATGTCAAACAAAGGGGCGAGCTCACAGAGTGTGCCTACAATAAACCACACTGATGATGCCCAAAGATGCGCATGATAAAGATGCCATCTTAATTTTGCAGGGAGCTAGAAAACCTAGGGTGAATTTAAACCAAGAAAACACAAAATAGCTAAAAAGGAAATGCTCTAGGTTTGGCACGTCCTGGCTAATGTTATGCTAACATTCTAAAGTCAAAGCTAAACAGAACAATTTTACATATATTTTAATTGGTTACGTTCCACCCAGCAAATTATTATGGTTGAACTATATTCAGCTATGCAGTGAAATGGTGTCCTTTGGCTCTCTAGCTTTAGCTCCATTGCCACGGAACGTTGTCCCCAAGTATATCATTTTCTAGCTCTTTTCGACTGCACCCCTCCTATTCCTCTCCTGCTTTGCTGTTCTACTCGTTCTATCCCCATTCTGTCTGCCAGTCGTGGAGATAAACGCCCATGGCGACAGGGTGCTTGATGTCTCTTTCATATATTTTTTTAACTTGCTTAAAATAGAGGAATAGGCTTTAATATGTCCTTAGATGAGTTGATATGTTTCAAAAGTAGGGGTTGAGCGCTTACTCTGCCGCGGGTGCATGCTCGGTGTTTTTTGGTAGTTTTATGGTGTTGTGCGTTACCAGAATAAGTTGGGCTTTAGTATAGTTACCGCATATGTGTACAGTAACTCACGCAGTTGTTAATGGCCGTTAGTACCTAACTCAACCCTGTGCAGGATGTCTATGAGCTGAAAATTGGTATTGTTGAGAAATTCGGCAATTGGAAAAGTCTCAAGATTTCCAGCCTAATCAGTATCGCCCTGTTGGAAAATATCGATGATGGAAAGATGATGGAAAAGGCTCATACAAGCGTAACCGTAATATGGGACATCCTATACAAGCGAAAAGGCAGCTCCAGTATAGTGGATTACGGCGGAACGATACAGGTAGGCGGAACCATACAAGCGTGTCGTATTATGGGACATCCTATACCGGCGTAGTGGATTATGGCGGAACCATGTAGGCGGACGGAACCATACATGGATAACGTAATATGGGACATCCTATACCAGCGAAAAGGCGATACCGGCGTGGTAGAGCCATATGGCTCCAACATGGTGGTTTCGCCTTTTCACTGTTGTACACGGCAATTTAGTTTTAAGCTTTACATATATGTTTAGAAAGGCCGTGAAAGCTAAATTAATGCGATTTGTGCAGGAGAGTTATATGGCCAGGCGTACGTAGCATAGGGACCTAGTCGTAACGATCAGTCAGATAATTAAATACAATTTGTTAATTAACTTTTTAATTAGTGAAAATGAAACTATGGTTTCTATTGGAAACTTGCTGAGTCACTGAAAACCACAAAATCAACTCTTTTTAGAAGGATATAATGCAGGGGTAGCATTTTACGCGTTCTGTAAAAATGCTTTATTTGGATACGAGTTTCTAGGTTTCAGTTTCTTATCAGAGCTCATTTTTGCGCCCACGGTCCTGTTCCCCAGGGGCTTAGACGCGCAACACACGTGCGCCTTGCTTCCCTCCATCCTACGAGGGAGGCGAGGGGGCGGCTTCGCACTGCGGCCACCGGGCAGCAGGACCGTAGGTGCAAAGATGCGCTCTGGTAAGAAACCGAAGTCTGGAAACGCGTCCAAATTGACCATTCTTTTAGAACACCATAAAATGCTGCTCTTGTCTTATATCTTCACAAAGAAAATTGATTTAGTGTGTTTTGATGATGCTTAGAAGTTTCTAATTGGAACCATGGGTCTATTTTCACTGATTAAAAATTTTAGGAACATACTATACTTAGAGAGAGGCTGAAGCGGTTTTGTATTTGAGAAAACTCTTTTAAATCTTCTTCATTTGACCTCCAGAATCTCAAATATCAAAATTATTTGCTAATTTAATTAATCGAGGCTGCATAGTCATTTTTAAAGCGCTTTGAAAGCACTTCCCTAGAGAGGGACGTAACAAGAGCAGCTTTCAAAATCTTTGTTCACGCATCTTCAGTGCCTATGAAAGCTATGCACGCACATGCTATTTTTTAAAGGGGCAGAAAAATGTGTCACGACTGGTGCCAATGCGGGAGAATATACCTAGAAAACTTGCGACTGGACGCGCGGCCCTTAAGCGACATACACTTGGCGGCTGAAAGGTCTTCTTACGATGTCACTATTGGTAGGATGTTTTTTTTGTGTTTTCTCACGTTTAGTTATATCTTTGTGGAAAACGAACGGGATATTCAGATTCGCGGGATAAAACCACGCGAGAATGAACCTCCATCTAGTTTTCTGAAAGAAGTCTGGCACATCTCTGTAATAAGCCGACTGATCATTACAAATTAGCCTTTTATACTATGCCGCCCTGGCCATATAATTCACGTGTACAGACTGCGTAAATGTAGCTTTTACGGCTTTTTTTTAAAAAATCTGTAAAATATACAAAAAAACACTCTGTAGAATGTCCCCCAATACAATATGATTGTATGGTTCCTTTCCCGCTTGCATTGTTCAAGAAAGACTTGTGGATATCCAGCGTTTCATTGGAATGCTGGATGTCAATAAGTCTCTACATCAGTGAGTGGTTTCAAACAATTATGATGTTTGCACCCCAGTAAGCTCTCATCCGAGGCTCACCAGGAGCACTAAGAGCAGAGGCAAAATGTCGTGACCTGGTAAATTTGGTTGCAGGTATTTATTTTTAGAAGAACTGCATGCAGCAAAGCTTAACTTTGCTCAAAAGAAGATAATTAAAAATTCAATACTGAACAATGGTGTCCCTTGAGCTGTCAGACCAAACTCCCACTCTTGTCACTCAGGAGTTCCTAACTTGTGCGTAGAGGATCAGCACAACCCAGATTTGTGCTGCAAGCGCACCTGCAATATGAAAGTTGAAAAAACATGAGATGAAATATGAGACGTTTACAATTCTCTGTAATGAGAAAATACAGTACAGCTCTCGAAGAGGAAGATGGGAGGGTATGCCCCTCCTTCCCTCCCCTCCTCCTTTTCTGCTCCCTCCCATTTAGGGGGAAATTTCCCCACTAAATTTAGCGGGTTAAGTTTCCCAATAAATTTAGCGCGGAAATTGATGTCACATGACCTCTACACAAATGCAGTTTTTCTGCTAAAAGTAGCGGGGAAAATGACGTCGCATGACCGTGTCACGTCATCCATAAAAACACTCAGTTTCTCAGCTAGACTTAGCGGAAATATTAACGTCACATGACCACAACATTAATTCAATTTCCTGCCAAGTTTAGTTGGGCGGTTACGCCGACAGCGACGCCGCGAAACGCGGAAACGGGTGCTAACAGCTGCGCTAAAAACTAAATGCATCAGGTGAAATAAAGTGAACATTAGATATACTGTAAGAAAAAGGAGAATCTAAGATACCGTTCTCAGATCCTTCCTTTTGTCCGTTCTCAAATGTTTTGATATCAAGAAATGTTTATCTCTTTATTCATACCCAGAGAATTCCTCCCAGTTTCAGCATGAATGCAATAAATCAATGCAGACTAGACCTAGTAAACTATAATGCACATAAAAATGAATGTTTGCCACATAGTCATGTATCAGTCAGTGGCTCAGATCTCAAAATACATTTGTATTGAGGAACATTCTTGAATAAAACTTCTGGGCTTCGAATTCAACAGTTTGTACTTCCATAAGGAACACTGTATGGCACTGATTTTTTTTGTTTTTTGTGACACATCAGAAACAGCACAACACTGTCATCCTTGCATACCTAACAAGAATTTGTATTTTTTTTTAGCATGGCATGTGCTATTCTAATGCCCATACAGCCTCCTTTAACAAAATTTCCTTTGTATAGCTTTTTATTGGTTCTTATTTAGCTCGCACGACAGATTCGGTACCTTGAATTCTCACTCGGCATCAACAGTTTTATATATTAATGTAATAGCGAAAGACAAGATGTATGGACTTGAGTATGGTTCAACAAGCACAGATGTTGAGAAAAGTACTGAGGAAAACTCAAATGTCAAAATAAAAATAAGCTGGAATGTGGATACAATTATGGACATGGTCATGAATACACTTAGCAGATTCAATATAAAGAATATGTGTTAGACGCACGCTCAAAGAAACCTGTTGCATCATTATTCATTCAAATTACTTTGCAGAACCCAGCGCTGCAGTCTCAGGTGGGAGTTCGCTGGATGAGTCTACTGAAAATGAGTGTAGACGGAAAAAGCAGTTTGATCTGCGATAATGAGCATTACATAAGTGACATGTCATTATTACTGTTACAGTGCCGAATGTTCCAAACTGTCAGTCGCATCATTCTGTGAATTCCCTCCGTACATTACAGGGTTTGGCTCTTTCGAATGCTTTGCGAGAAAAATGATGAACTGGAAATATCTAGAGTAGTTCTAGAAAAACTATTTCCAGAATCTTATCTCAGCATCGCAAAGAATATAAAAAGTTTCTAAAGACAAGGTTAGTGCAGGAGTTGAATAAACTAAATACTTTGTTTTTCGAAATTATCTTGCCGTAGTAAACGTATGAAGTTCCCCTAGGTAGAGCTAGTCATTACGGATAATTGTGCCCATTGCATACCATAAAAATTTAATTTGCGACCTACAATGTTTACAAACTCAATTAACTCTGAATAAGTGGACCACTTGGCATTAAAAATTGGCCTCACCATGACTGTCTGCCAACATCTACATAATAATTTTCATGAACCTATGTATTTCAAGAAAATATTTGGTGCGAGCTGCTTAAAACACAATAGCACTTTTTAACAAGTGCTGATTGTTGGGCAAGTTCGTACGGTACGTTAGAAAACATAA